ATAAAGGGGAGAGAAGGAAATGCTATTTCTTGCAGAATTCCAACACAGAAGAAATGATTGTAACAGAAAATACCAACTGGTAAACAACACAGTCATTATGAAAAGAGGTGATAACTATCAACGGATAGTATAGGTCAATGTACGATGAACCAACTGTATTCGTAGCATCTCTTTGAGAAACACAGTCATTATAAAGTATAAAACAATTAACAGTGCTAAAGAATAAAGAAAAATCCATTATCTATGAAAAGATAAAACACTCAAACTAAATGCAAAACAAGAACATTTAATTGTGTGCAATATACATCGATAAAAACATTATAAATATAAACTCACATTTGCAGCCTCATTTGTAATAACAAAGACTTTCAAGAAAGGTTAAGATTTCGCTCGGAATGAGACCCTTAACAGCGCTGAGGACGGCCCCGCAGTCACAATGAAACTGCCACTTCTCCCAAAGGCACAAACGAGAGCTCTAGTGGCCCTTCTCTGAGTTCACATCGCTTCCTTACTCTCTGAGCTACACTGTTGTTTAACTGCACATAGAGAGCATCCCACATTTCAAATAGCATTCTCTTCACTGTGAGGTCTTTGGATGGTGGTGGGTTTTTTCCCCTCTTAACATTTTATTGTTCTTTTGGTAAACGCTAAAAACATAGAAAATGAGTTTTCCATTCAGTAGTTCAGCGATTTCTTTCTTCACTGGGTCCCCTACTTCTGTTCATCCTGTTCTCTGTCCCTCCCTTGGCTTCCCATCCCTAGTTTTTGGGCACAGGTAGCCCTTTGGTCTGGTGTAATTGGTTTGGCAGGATGGTGGCCTCCAGGACTGTCTCAGGGCAATCGTCTCTGGGGTTCCTCGTAATTTCGTTCTATGTTTGTTTTTTTACCCAATCTAACTGGATCTTCAACGATCGTGTTGTTGTCAGTGCATTTGGGGTGATTGCTGGGCACCATCTCTAGTTCTTCTGGATCCGGGGCAGGAAGCTCTGGTTGATACGGGTCATCAATCCTCTAGATTAACTGCTTCCCCGAGTCTTCCTTTTCCTTTGTTCTTTGCTCCAGGTCAGGAGAGATCAACACTTGCTTCTAAGGTGGCCACTTGCAAGTTTTTAAGACCCCAGACTCTACTCTCCAGAATTAGATGCAGAATACGGTTTTGCCAATTGACCAAGATTATCCTCTGAGACTATGGCCCTTAGACTTCAAGTACATTGTTTTTGTTGTAATATCCAAGTTGTTTCTATACATTTCCCCCCATGTGCTTTACTACATACATGAATATATGGGAAACATTTGAAAATATTTACGTAGAAACATTTATCACCATACTTGTATACGTAGATGGGTACAGTCCCATAAGAACTCCCTCATTTTAGCATTTTAAGTATTTACCTATGTATCTACTCACAAATCAGCATTTATTAGTAACAGTTACTCCTGCTTTTGCAGGAATGTATACATGCATTTATCACAGTTTTCCCTTATTTGGGCATACTTCCTAGTGTCTTCCTTTGCCTTGGTCACACTGAATGGACTTCCCCCATACTGTGTACTGCCTTACCTGCGCCGGAATGAACTGTTGTCTACTATCTACTTAGTGTTTCCTCCCTCCCTTCTCTTCTTTCCCCAGGTAACCATCAGAGAAAAAACAAAACATAACTTCTCTTTATGTGTGCAACCCTACTCTTGACTTTTAAAAACAGTGGTCTAATACAACACTTGTCTTTTTGTGACTTGCTTCACTCAGCATAGTGTCCTCCACACTCCCCCATGCTGTGGACTTATCAGTATTCTTTATCACTGTGTAGTACGCACTTTGTGTATGTTGTTGTTACTCAGGGCTATGGAGGTAGCTCCATCTCAGAGAATTTTGATCTGAATGTTTCTTACAGCAAATGAACACAAGAATCTTTTTATCTCTTTATGAGCTGCAAGAGTGTCCTCTTTGGGGAAGTGTTGAATTATAGATCTCAGCTATCAATTGATGCTATGCTTGGTTTTCAATTGATGCTATGTATGAGGGACCCTGTTATTGTTGTTAAGTGCCAGTGAGATGATTCTGACCCATAGCAGCCCTGTAGTTTCCAAGGAACAGCTGGTGGTGAGCTTGAACTGCCGACCTTGTGGTTTAAAGCGACTTTGCAGTACAGCTCCCTAACCCACAGCCTCACATCAGGGCCCTGAGTACTGTCCCTATTTTCCCTTCTGCAACCTTTATAGTCTTAGGATTTACATGTAGATCTTAGACTGCTTTTATTAATTTCTATGTATGCTGTGTGGATGGATCTTGGTTTATTTTTCAGCATATAGGCAGCTTGGCTAAATGGATTTCCTCATCCCAATTTAATGGACACTTCAACCCTTTGATTCTAATCAAAATGAGTTGTGCACAGGGGGATGGGCTTATATCTTTATTCTAAATGTATTCTAAACATGTTCCCTTGGTCTGTGTCTAAACTTGTACTAGAATCAGGCTGTTATGCCATGGCTGTGTGGTGGGTTCTAAAATCAGAAACTGTGAGGCCTCTTACACGGTTCATCCTTTCCAATAATGCTGTTTCCTGGGCCCTATTTCCTTTAAAATTGTTGTTTAGTGCTGTCGAGTCGATTCCGACCCATAGCGACCCTGTATAGGGTTTCCAAGGAGCAGCTGGTGAGCTTGAACTGCCGACCTGGTAGTTCAAACCAACATTGCAGTCCGGTGCATTAACCCACAGCACCACAAAAGTTAGTGATTAGCTTTTCCATGCCATTATTAAAATTTGGGTTAGTGTTACATTATATTTGTACATTGCTGTGGGTGATGGCATTTTCACATTCAATACTTCCTATTCATGAGTATGGTTTGTTTTTGGTACCTTATACTCATGTTTTGTAGTTCTCTGTGTATATCTTTTCCATTCCTGGTTAGATTTATTCCTATTTTTATGATTTTCAGAGATACTAAAAGTGGAACTGTTTTCATGATTACTTTTTCAGTTTCTTTTTGTTGTGGTTATGTGCCGCCGAGTCGGTGCCGACTCATAGCGACCCTGAAGAGGGTTTCCGAGAGCAGAGAGCCTCATCTTTCTCCCACGGAACAGCTGGTAGTTTTGAACTGCTGACCTTAAGGTTCACAGCCCGATTCCTAACCACTACGCTACCAGAGTTCCTTTTTGTTGTTGTAGAGGAATACAGCTGATTTTGTATGTTGCTCTTTGCTGAAACCCTTTATTGGTTCCAGTAGGTTTCTTGTAGTGCCTCTGGGGTTTGCGGTGGATAGGATCATGTAATCTATAAACAAGGAAAGTGTTACTTCTCCCTTACTACTGTGGATGACCTAACGTCCCTTCTCTTGTCTGACTGTTATAGGTAGGACTTCTAGCACAAGATGGGTCAAGAGTGGTAGCAAAGAGTATCCCTGTTTTGTTCTGTTCACAAAGGGAAACCTTTTAATCTCTATTTAGAATACTGTTGGCTGCTGGTTTTGCATGTTGTTAAATGCCTTAGTGAATCCTGACTCCTAGCAACTACATACAGGGTTTCCAGGGAGCAGTTGGTGAATTTGAGGTGCTAACCTCATGGTTAGGGTTAGCAGTCCAGTACTTATCCTACAGCATCCCACCAGGACTCCATACCCTTCATTATGTCTAAGAATTTCCTTCAGAATTTTTAAACGGAATGGTGTTGGACTTTGTCTTTTCTGAAATCACTAGGAAGATGGTGTGATTCTTGTCTTTTGTTATATTATGTTGTGGATTACACTTACTGATCTTGTAATGTTGAACCATCCTTGTACATGTAATACAAAACCCAGTGGGTCATGATGAATTACTCATTTGGTATCCTGTTGATTCCACTGGCTAGAATTTTTACATCTATATTTATGAGGGATTTTTACATCTATATTTATGAGGGATGTTGTTCTTAAGTGTTGTTGAGTCGGTTTCCACTCATAGTAACCCTGTACAGGGTTTCTGAGAAGCAGCTGGTGAGTTTGAACCACCGACCCTGAGGTTCAAACCGACTTTGCAGTCTAGAGCATTAGCCCACAGCGCCAAACCAGGACCGTATTCATGAGGGATACTGGTCTTCATTTATAGTGGTGTGTTTACCTGCCTTTGCTATCAGGGTTATATGTGCTTGATAGAATATATTTGAGAGTTTTCCTTCTGTATCTGTTTTCTCGAATCGTTTTAGTAGTATGGGTGTCGTCTCTTGTCGGAATGATTTTGGCAAAATTCTCCAGTGAAGTCATTTGGACCCTCATGTTTTGCTTTATTTTTTTAATTAGAAAATTTTCACACATTTTTTAACTGTTCTCTTGTTATGGGCCTTGTCAGATTGTTTTTTTTAACCTCAGCGTGGTTAGGCAGTGTGACTATAGGAAAAGGTCCATTTGTTGTACATTTTCAAATTTGATCAAATATAGTTTTTCACAATCTTCTGTTATGTTGCTGTTTAGTGCTGTCAAATCAGTTACTAGTCAGACACTCTGTATAATAGGGCTTCCAAGGAGCAGCTGATGGGTTGGAACTTGTGACTTTGCGGTCCAGTGCTGACCCTACACACCACACCAGGACCCGTTTCTTTCAGTTGATTCTGTTGTAGCGCCAACCATCTCATTTCTTATTTGGATTACTTGCAATTTCCTCTTTATTTAAGTCAATTTGGCCAACGGTTATTCAATTTTAGTGATCTAGTCAAAGAACCAACTTCTCATCTTGTTGATTCTTGCAACTGTTTTTCTATTTGCTGGCTCATCGATTTGAATATACCATTTATCACGTATTTTGCATGGAGGCTCTGGGCTACTTTTGCTGCTCTTTGCTATTTATTTCTCTGAGATGGAAGGTTAAGGTATTAGTTTGGCCCTTCTTTTTTGAGGTGTAGATTTGATGCTTTATAAATTGATGACCGATTATTGCTTTGGGTATACCACAAAGATTCTGGTATGTTGTATTTTCAATCTCATCTGAGTTCTTCATTTCATCTATAAGCCACTGGACTTTATGAACTTGTTATTCAGTGTCCCACTGCTGAGCCAGTCTCTCCACATGAGTCCTTGTGTGGGAAATGAGGTGAGAAGACTGACAGAAGGCTTTCCCACACTGCTGACATTCATACGGCCTCTCGCCATTATGAGTTCTGATATGTTTAGTGAGGGCTGAGGAATCACTGAAGGCTTTCCCACACTCCTTACACTCGTAAGGCCTTTCGCCACTGTGGATTCTTCTATGTGAGGTGAGGTGTGACGAACGACTGAAGGTTTTTCCACATTCGTTACATTTGTAGGGTCTCTCTCCACTGTGAGTTCTGATATGTGTGGTGAGGTGTGAGGAACGGCAGAAAGCTTTCCCACACTCCTTACATTCATAGGGTCTCTCTCCACTGTGCGTTCGGATATGTTTAGTGAGGGCCGAGGAATCGCTGAAGGCTTTTCCACATTCCTTACACTCGTAGGGCCTCTCTCCACTGTGAGTTCTTTTATGTGTCGTGAGGGCTGAGGAGTAACTGAAGACTTTCCCACACTCCTTACATTCGTAAGGCCTCTCTCCATTGTGGATTTTTATATGTGTCGTGAGGTGTGATGACTGACTGAAGGCTTTCCCACACTCCTTACACTCGTAAGGCCTCTCTCCACTGTGCGTCTTTATATGTCGAGTTAGGGATGAGGACACACTAAAGGCTTTCCCACACTCCTTACATTCGTACGGCTTACCTCTGTTATGGAATTTTTTCAGTAAAATGAGAGATGAAGGACAACTAAATGTTTCCCAATATTCTTTACATTCGCCGTAACCTCTGACACTGGTCCAGAAGGATGAGAAACTATAGAAATCTTTGCCACATTCATGGCACATCTCATCACGGAGGGCTGTCCCTGGCTGGTTAAGAGCTGACAGACAGAGGAAGTCCTTCCCACATACCTTACATGTAGGGAGTTTCTCTCCATTCAGAGTCCTGACAGGAGTGATTAACTGAGAGGGGCAACTGCAGGCTTCTCCACCTTCGTTCCACTGATAGGCATCATACCCACTGTGAGAGGCGCTGGGAAGGTGATGTCCTGAGTGATCCAGGAAGGCTTTCTGCCACTCAGAGCATTCCAGGAGACTAACTTCTGGAGGGTTTCTTGGTAGTGTCGTGAGATTCGGAACGCAGCTGAAGATATTCCCAAACTGATTGCCTTCATTACTTGCGTACAAGTAACCTGAATGAGTTCTGTGAAAAATATGCAACATACTGCTATTAGACATAAGTTTATTTCAATTTCACTATTACCAAATGTAGTGTGTAACTGCCTGGTTTCTGTCGTGACTTGTCTCATGCTTCATATGTTAGATCATCTTGCAAAAATATTTTTCCTAGGACCATCGAGGGAGAAGAGCATGAGTGGGAAGTGGGACCCTAACCAGAGAAGCAGTGACATCAGAGCTGAAGGCAGAGGTGATGGCACGGAGAGACAGAGCAGCTGAGGACTCTAGACTCTTGGAAAGAGAAAGGCTGTGTGCTGGCAGCCAGGAGGCAGGCTTGCAGAATGTGCCCTCTAGTTATTGACATGAGTATATATTCCTGCATGTGTTTGTGTACATCAAAAAAAAAAAAAGGAGGGAATAGAAAGAAGCAAATACTGTTAAATGAATGATGCATGGAGGGGATTGCAATCATTGCACTGAAACAAAATACGATAGGTTGAGTGCAAAACTGATGTTCTCCCATTTAAACTCAAGTCACAAAATCAAAGACTTAAAAAGGCAAAACAAGATAAAAACCATTATTACTGTTAAAAACAACAACAACACACTGATATACTACATTTCACACCAACTAGATTGGAATCCTCATCTATTATTGATAAAAATGTAAAATGGCATAGTCGCTGTGGAAAACACTTCAGCAGTTCCTCAAAGACATAAACACAGATTAGCACAAACCCAGGAGTCCGGTTAGGACTCAGAAAGATCCGCTAGGGCAGGGCAGGGCAGAAGCACATCATGGATCTTCCAGGGCCGTCAGGGTCTACTGAAGAAGACCGCTACGTTAGTCTCCTAAGGAGTGGCTCATTAGGTTTGAACCACCGGTCTTTAGGATAGCAGTTAACCGCTTCAGCCACGGCACCACCAGGAGCTCCACTGTTAAGTACACCCTCAAAAAACTTGAACGTAGAGATTCAAATACTTGTACACTGAAGATCATTTTTCACAATAGCTAAAAGGTAGAAACAACTCAAGGATCCATTCACAGATGCAAAGACATACAAAGTTTAATGCAATCATACAATGGGATATTATTCTGCCACAAAGAGAAATGAAGTTCTAATAAAACGCAGTAACACGTATGAATCCTGGGAGCATTGTGTGAGTGAAATAAATCAGACACAGATGGTAAATATTGGATGATCACACTTATATGAAATACTTTTAAACGGCAAATACATAGAGACAAACATGTATTTCTAGTTACCAGAGACTGGCGGGGGGTGGGGGTGGAACTCGGAGTTATTGCCTAAGGGGTACTGAGTCTCTGACTGAGAACTTTTGAACCTGAATAGTTAAGATGATAAAACAGCACAGGAAAAGTAACTGATGTCAATGAATTATACTTAAAAACAACTAAGGTGGCAAACTTTTTGTTATATATATTTTACCCCAAATAAAATAAAAATTTTAAAGCTTAAATAAAAAAAGCTTTCATTGTTTTTCTGATATGTAACACTTTCTCTAACAATTGTGTCCAAGTAAAACATGCTTCAAAAGCTTAATATTTGACTCACATTTATGAAAATGTTTTATTGTAGAAATTCTCTGAACACATAATTCTATAGGTAGGTTTACATATGAAGGGGGCTTCAAAAAGTTAGTGGAAAAATGAAATTAAAATAATGAAAAAATCTTGACAAGCTTTCGATGCCCCCTCCTATGTATATATGTGTATAAAATGTGTAAATACGAAAGGACAACAAGTCTGTATGGTTATACAGTAATACATACAAAGAGGCTTTGTATTTAAAAAGTTTCTGAAACAATGAAATGAAAAGGTAACAGAATTACTATACAAAGTCTCTGAAGCTCTCTCATGGACTGTAAACCAGCTTGGAATGGTTCAGCAATTAGCGACACACAAGCGGGGAATATACAAGCTAAACAATCAAATCGTTAACCGTGGGATTTTGACTCTAGTCGTAAATCCACAGTGATGCTCTCTGCTCAGAGATGGCGTCCACCACGATGCTGTGAGTGTGTCGGGCTGCGTAAGTTCGCAATAGTTCAGTCTCCCGCATGGGTCACAAAAGTTTCCAGAGAAATCATGCATGACACTGGACAGTCACTATCTGAAGGAGTCTGGAGAGTGGCACAGACGGACAGCAGTGCGGTTGGCAGCCATTCTTGTTCAGGACACAGCTGACTGCCTCTTGAATAGATTGCTTTGCTATGGAAGATTTATAGGGTCCTCAATTACCCTAGCAATTGCTGAACCATTCAAACGACTTCCAAGCTGTGGTCAATATGCACAAATGTTCCTGTTGTTGTTAAGTGCCACAACTTTGCTTCTGACTCACAGTGACCCTATATAGTGTTTCCTAGGAGCAGATGGTGAGTTTGAATGACCAACCTAGTAGTCCGCTGCTTATGCTACAGCGCCACACCAGGACTCCCATATGCATGCATGTCTGTACGTATGTATCTATATAGAGAAAGGCCATGATTCTTCAGACTATTCTTCTAAGTCATTGCTTTCTGTTGTGGAATGACACTCACCTCAGCTGTCTTTGGTTCTTAGGCTCATCTTTCCTGCTATACGGTTTGGAGAGTCCTCCTAACATGGAGAACCAGCCGTTACTCTTCATTAACTGCAACATTATAGCTTCACTGGATAACTTTTCTCCATTATTCACATCTTTAGACACTGACCCTGTAATTCAATCGAGGTTTACAACAGGAAACAAAAATGGAAAAAACACTATTAGGGAAAAAGGATGCTGTAAATGCTGAAAAAGTTTCCACAATTTACTGTCTTTGGCAATGGTTCAAAAGGTATTTAACTAAAAATATTTCCATGAGAATCTCACTGGCAACAATGTTGACGTAAATAATTAGGAAAATTCCGTAAAAATGCATCGGACACAATGGACATATAACATAAGAAGAGAAACTGAAACTCCAAGTACACAGGTGTGAGAAGATCGGTAAAAGCAGAAAAGGAAGCTCAGAGTTTTGTGAAGTTGTGTCATCACCCCAAAAGAAGCTTTTTCAAGCTGACAGATTCAAGTGTCATTCCCCCCACGGATGGCTGGTCCTGCAAAAAAATGCTAGCTTCTCTTCCAAACACTGTGAACCTGGATGAATCCTATCCCCACTGTGCTCCAACCTTTCCCTTGCTTCTCTGAGAAAACAAATGGGTAGAGAAGAAAGGAAGATGAAGGAAAAATGCACATCAAGAGGGAAGGCAGTGAAGAACAGTGAACATTTGTCTGAGACAATCCTTTGTTCTTCAAGGTCTCTGAAGATAGACAGATGTGCAAAACAAAGCATATCAAACTTACAATCATCACTGTGAAACTCTAGAGGTCCCAAATCATAATATCTAAAGGTCACAAAGGGACCCCTGAAGCTAACCCTTACAGCACTTAAGGCCTTTTGTCACAGGAGAAAAGCAAGCTCATTTTAATATCAAGGCTTTCTGTTCATGGAGAAGCCGGGACGTGAGCTCCATACACCCGTTCTATTTCACTGTTTATTTCCTTTCGTTATTCCTTTTTATTCAATGAAGGAATCCAGTTTTTTCTAACGATGCTAGTCTTACCGACTGAGGCCAGGTTTCTGAAGGTTTCCATCATCACTTCTCTGTAGAGTCTCCTCTGAGCAACATCCAGCAGAGCCCACTCTTCCTGGCTGAAGACCACAGCCACATCCTCAATGACCACCGAGCCCTAGAACAGAGCAGACATTGTGGATCCGCAAGTCTCGGATACTCTTGGGTACACACAAGAACAAAGAGTGAGGCTGACTGTCTACGATCACCCCAAGTCCCAGAACACCTCACATATTCTGGATCAGCAAGGTAGCATGCAGTCTAATGTGCCCAAAAACAAAAGGATGAGGTTCATAGTCCTGGGGAATGGAGAACTCCTAGGGATTTGATGCAAGGGTTCAAAGGTGAATGTCAGGTTATGTGCACCTGCCTCGTATCTTCAGTAAGCACATCCACTTCCTCATTGGTTGCATTTGTCTCGTGCTCGTAACACACTGCTTCTGCAGTCTTATTTACCTCACCTCTAAGGTCAAGTGGAGGGTCAGAGAAAAAGAAGACGACCCCCAGCTAGATGGATTGGCATGGTGGCAGCAGTAATGGGCTCAAACGTAGCAAGGATTGTGAGGTAGGTGCTGGACCGGACAGTGTTTCATTCTGTTGTGCACAAGGTCACTAGGAGTCGGCACAAACTCGATGGTACCCAACAACAGTGGCCTAGAAGACTTAGTGAACTTAGAGAAATGCTCTCATTCAGATCAACAGCAGTTTCTTCCCTATCTACCGCTCTGTAAAGGAATACCAAGTGTGGAAGGCTCAGGCTAACAGAAATTTCTCCTCTCATAGTTCAGAAGCTGAAAATGGAATGCAAGGTGCCCAGTCTACGGGAAGGCTTCCTCTCCATGTCAGATGGGTCCTTGTCTCCCTCCAGCACGTGGAGGTGTTTCCCCTGGCCCTAAGGGGTTCTCAGCACAGTTAGCACGGGCCCACAGGAAGTGCTGCTCTTCCAGATCTTCTTTCTTGGTGGTGGGTTGAGCACCCCACCTCTGTTTTGTCCCTTTCATGCTTCTTCTGGTTGCTGTTATTCGGTGTAGGTGCCGAGTCCTAGTGAGTGACCCTGTGTATACCAGAAGGAAACCCTGCCTGTCCTCACAATCCTTGAGGACTACCTACACTTGAGCCCATCGCTGCTGCCCCAGTGCTGTCTCTCCAGCTCATTGAGGATCTTCCTCATTTTCAATGACCACCCCCCCAACTTTACCAAGCAAGATGTCCTCCAGTGACTGGTCCCTCCTGACAACATGTCCACAGTAGGAGAGACAAAGTTTGGCCACCCTGGCTTCTAAGGAGCACTCTGGCTGCACTTGCTCCAACACACATTTGTTTGTTCTTCTGGCAGTCCATGATACTTTCAATATTCTCCTCCAACACCGTAACTCACATGCATCACTTCTTCTATGTTCTTCCTTATTCACTGTTCTAACTTTCACATGCATATGAGGCTACTGAAAATACCATGGCGTGGGTCAGGCGCAACTTAGTCCTCAAACTGACATGTTTACTCCTGAACCCTTTAAAGAGATCTTGGTGCAGCAGATTTGCCTAATGCAAATGCTGCTTGCGTGAGTGCTAACTGTGGATCCAAGCAAAATGAAGTCTTTTACAACTTCAATCTTTTCTCCATTTATCATGATCATAGAGACAGGCAAGGGTAATGAAAGTTAAAAAGAGCTCGGGTTGAATAAGGAAACATGAGAATCCAGACCTCCATACAATTCTCAAAATTTGAACCCTGTTGCAAATTTACACCCATTATTTGTGACTGTTCCCTTCAACAAACTTAAAGTCACACAGACAGACTTTGGTCCAAAGAGCATACTACATTTCTCGCTCTTTCTTTCTTTTAATTTTTTATGGCGAATTGAATGAATGTTTACAGTGCAGATCATCAGTTCCCCATTCAACAACTCACACACCCTGCTTCACTACAATGATGGCAATCCCCCTCAACTCCACGTACCAAGAATGAACACGATCTCTACATTCCTCCTGTGTCCGTGTCTCTCCCAACCCCACAACTTCTCTGCCACCCTCCCTCTCACTGTCCACCGCCTGCCCCGTCCCCCATGTGAACATGCATCTACCCTCTAGCACGTGAACATTCCTCCACCTGCCTCTACAACCATTAGTCAGTCTCCTTTATCAAGAATACCTCTTAACTTCATACAATTCTACTCTAATACAGTACTTGTCTCCCTGCAACTGTTCTCCAGGTCCACCCAGGCCATGAGGTGTTTCAGAGATTCTGCACTGTCCTCACCGCTGATGGTATTTCACTGTGTGTGTTTACCAAAGACTGTCCAGTCAGTCCTCTGCTGCTGGGTCTCCAGTGCCTCCTGAAGACAGCACGTTGCAAGGACCTTTGTCTGCTGAATTTAATTCATTTACATTCAGTGTAATTGTCCATAAGTCGGAAGTGAATTTACTTCATTTACATTCAGTGTAATTGTCCATAAGTC